TATCAGTCACATGGAGGCAGGGCTTAAAAGCCTGAATTTTGCCTGAAACTCTCAGACAGAAGAAGTCTCTTGGAGGAGAGACGAAACATTTCATTAGAGAAGAAACCGTCCAGAAAACCTATACTATTTTTTTTTCTTTTCAAAATGTGTAAACATCTAAAAAATAAAAATAAAATGTGCGGCTAAATGTTGAAGTTTTCGTACAACAAAGTATTAGGGCCACACAACAAGATTTTTTTTTAAAAAAATTTATTACGAGAATAAAGTCATAATATTATGACATTAAAATCATAGCATTGTAAGAAAAATACGTATTCAATAAACTGAAGTCAATATTAAAACCACCATTGTTAAATAAAATGATTTTACAACACCAGAATTCTGGAACTGAGTGAGGTTTATTGCCACCGGAGCTGACAGGAAACCACACTGGCGAAAAACCAGGAAGTTCATCAATTTATACATTCTTCAATGCCTACGTTCGCCCCCTACTGACCTACGGCTGAATCACAGGCATTCAGACAAAAACCTCAACTACTGTTATCATAACGTTTTAATTATGTGTTGTTATAATTCGGACATGTAACTAATCTATATCAATCAAAACATAATAGATTAAACATTGTCAACATTATAAAAAGGAAAACCTAAAAATATAGTGTTGTGCTTCTAACATCAGTACAAACCTCTAATAACTATAAATTTCTTCAATCCCCCTGTTCACATGACCAAACCATGTGAACAGCATTACGAAAATAAAGTTGTGAGAATAAAGTTGTAATACTATGAGAATAAAGTTGTAATATTATGAGATAAAAGGGATAATATTACGAGGATAAAGTCATAATATTGCAACATTAAAGTCACAAGAAACTTTACACAAAAAAAAGCAGTCTTGCCACTGCATTAAAATGAGGAATGTTGCAACTTGTGAAGTCGTTCTTTAGTATCAGTTCAAAGAAATACTTAGTCTTTTAGCACATTAGCATCAAATTATCAGTAGCAGGAATTTGAAACGATCGTGCAAACGATTAATAAACTGAAGGTTTAATTAATGGCTACATTGATAGATTTAGTTGTTATAATTTGGATGAAAGCATTTAGTGTAACGGTGAGCCAAAAGTCATTGTGGACAGCTTCATAAACATAATGACCTGCATGACTGCCCACAGTAAGTTTGTGGAAATTGAGGAGGAAATGAGTAAAATACCAGGAATGGAAAATGGTAAGATTATAACTTTATTCTCATAATATGACTTTAGTCTTGTAATTTAAATAAAAAAATCTCATTGTGTGGCCCTAATATATAGAATTTTTGGGAATGGAATGCTGGCGTATTTTATTTATTCATTTATTTTTTAACATATTAAACCTGTTGGGGCTCGGGGCCTCTGGGCCTGTCGGGCTTTGGCCTGGAGGGGGTGCGCCCTGGGGGCCCGGACCTCTGTGC